TGCCCGTTTGGTGCAGACATGGGGGAGCAAGCACCTTCTGATCACACAGTCTTCAATTGGTTTCGTGAATTTGAACGCGATAATTTTAGTGTTCAAGATGCTCCACGTTCAGGTAGTCCTTCAACATCTGTTAATGAACAAACAATTGATGCTGTACGAAAAATAATTGAAGATGAACCTCATTCGACGTATCAGCAAATAGAAAACATATTGGGTATCAGTTCCACAGCAATTAATTCGATTATTCATGATTATTTAAATCTAAGAAAAGTTTGTGCTCGGTGGGTGCCGNCTTTTTTTAAATATAGAACAACTCTTTTTCTATCAAAGTACTATTACTACCGATTGTACGTTATTACTTTTATATGTTATTACATTGTTAACTTGCAATACATACATCATGTTTTACAAATATTTATGATCAGAAGAGCAATATCTTAAATTTCATTCTTTTAATAACGACCAAGGAATGAAAGAAGGTGAGCAACATATATTGTTAATCGTTCATCTCTTCTTCTACCGAATCAACTTCTTCGTCTTCATCGACCAATTCTTCCTCGATTTCCTCAATAACTCGATCAGACTTCTTGAACGTGTCTTCGATCTTGCGTGTTTCATTAATATATCCTATAGAAGTTGTTCTACTTAAGACGTCATCCATTCGTAAGCCAAATGTCCAACGTCACTAAGACTAAAGTTAACATTTTTGTCACGAACATAGTTTTTCAAACCAGCCCATGCTAATTCAATCGGGTTGAGCTTGCAATGCTTGACCGGCAAGCTATGAAAATACATTCATCAATATAAAAAATAGTTTTGAAGGAGTAAAACTAACCGTAAAATATCGACATTGTATTTTTTTGCTGCTTCATCCACTAAGTAACGTTTTGGTGGTAGTTTATCGAAAGCGAGCATAAGTAACTCGGCTTTAGTGGCTTTAAAAGGGACTCTACTATTATGATTTATTAACCATTGTACAACCAGGTATTTTCGCCATGCTCTCTTCGGAGGGATAGTGTCTTCAGTAAGTTGATTATGCCAAGTCGCATTATCAATAATCAAGACAATCTTCACATGCTGGCCTAAAAATGTCAACAGTGAAATTCATAGTGAAATGCTAGAAATCATATTACCCAGTTGTTTTCTCAAAAGAGAAGTTGTTCGATCAATCCAAGCCAGAAAGTGTTTCGAGTCCATACTATGATTCTCATCGCATTCGAATATATCGATTGTGTCTTTGTGGAAACCCGATTCGTTTAGAAGAGCCGAAATCGCTAGTCGTTTCCCTATAAGTATAGACTATCAGTTGAAATAGAAGAGAAATAATCAATACCTTTATTTTGACTATGTCGCATTCGACCTATACCAGTTGTTTCATCAGTCCATACAAAACGTCTCTCTTCGTTCTTGTTACACCACGTTTCATCATGCCAAAAAATCTTAGAGCCATTGTTGTGTAGTTCATCAATAGCAGCAAAGTAGCGCACACGCGCAGCCATAAATGATGGAGTATCGAGTGGTACGACGACTTTCGATGTCCGCTTGTATACAAATCCAATTTTTCTCACCCAACGCCACAAAGATGTTGTTGCCTGAATAGGGAAATCAGAATCTTCGGCCAGAATACGAGCAAGAATCTTATCGATGGTAGGATAGATTCGTTCGGCCAAAAGAGAATGAATATGAAATCTTAAAAAATGATCGTATTAATATTACTCTTTCTGTTAAATTCAACTCACCGAATAGTTTCTTGTTGTTGTTCGGTTAAAAGAATTGATGAACGACCAGAGTTCGATAGTTTGCGCGGCGAACGAGGAACAGTAACACTAATTGCCATAGTGTTCGTGCTGACTATAGACGACGATGATGATGATGACGATGATCTCGATCGTAAATTTCGAAGTCGACCAAGCACCTGAAGTTTTTGAATCTCTAACACCTCTTTTTCCTCCTCCATTTTTCTCTTCCTTTCCAGCATTTCATGTTCGATTTCTTTCATCTCACTCTTTAATCTTTCGACAGATCTCATAGAGATATCAAGCATAGATGATAGTCGTTCATTAACATTGAAAAGTGGGATTACTGGACCAAACTTCTCTTTTTCGACAAAGTTGATGACATTAAAAAATTTTTTTTCATGTCTTGAGAAAATTCATAGCCTTTAGGCATTTTTCTAGTTAACTTGGACAGTACAAATAACTATTCACAGCTGAAAATGAATTATGGTACAATCAGTAAGAAAAATACCCGAAACAGAACGTAAAAATATATAACCCAATCTGCGTACTGTCCTAAACGTGTCGCTTCTGATCATAAGCATTTGTGAAATATGATGTATATATTGCAAGTTAACAATGTAATAACATATAAAAGTAATAACGTACAATCGGTAGTAATAGTACTTTGATAGANTAGTCAGGTTCCAACATCTGACTCGCTTGAATTATTTGGGACAGAAATAATTAAAATAAAAATAAATTACAAAAATATCATAACATGCTTTTACAGAAAAAAAATAAAAAAATGCGCTGTATGATAAGTTCGAACCACGCTTTCAGAAACCGTCATACATTGTGACCCAAATCATGATACATGCAACAAATTTTATCTTAGTGTGTATCCAAGATTTTATGAATTCGTACCTAAGATCTTACACATCTGTGCCCAAGATCTGTAGTCAGATCTTGGTACAAGATAATCCTATTATCTTGTACCTAAATTTTCAAGATCTGTTCACTTATCTGTATCCAAGATCTTGGCCAAGATCTTGCTTACAAGATGTTCGACTAGGGGATAGATCAATTTGATTCTTGTCTAGCAAGATATTTTTGACGAATTCACATAAAAGTGCAACTTTATCGCATGAGTGTTTGTTTTTTTTCGCTTTTGTCTTATTTTACGCAAGAACGCGGGACGAACATCCCATGTCGTCAATTTTTATCAAAAACCGCCAGTTCGAAGCAGTTCCTGTTTGTTTATTGATTCTTTTATAATTTTCCTTTGAAATTAATATATTTAGTAAAGAAAAAATCGATTGCAACTCAAAAAAGTTTGAATAATTATGCAACAGTAAAATTCTATCAAATGGCGCTAACGATTTTTGTATTGGTTAAGTTATCTCGCGAATAACTATTTTTATAACGCCATCTTTAATAAAAGTCTAAACTCGTAAACCAAGAAAATATAGCAAATGTTGCTGGTACCGACGGGTTCAGCGCATTTGCATGTATAAGATGCGATGATTTCAACATATTTTTAACGATTTTGTGAGAGTTTAAAAATATTCACACACTGTAATGCGAAAAAAAATTAGCTGGAGAACCGTGGTAAACCGAACGGTTAACCGCGGTTATCAGGCGGTCTTCCGACGGTTTGAGCAACATACGATAAATCATACACCGTTCGAAAGAGGAGAAGATTGTCTATCAACTGATAACAAAATTTTATGTTGAAAACGTGCTTATTGAAGATTTATCGAAGAAATATAAGAATCAACATTTTTCGCCGTTTTTCTGGTTTCAACGAAAAGTGCGGGCGTGTTTTGATGATGTCTCTGTTTTGTGTTGTATTATTCCGTTTACAAGCGAATTATAAAAGTCATTTATATACGATTGAAAAGAGGACAAAAAGCTCTATTTTTTGGTAAGACGCAGTTTTCTTTCAGCACCTGTGTATTGAAGAGAAATAGGGGTACACATTTTGTACCATTAGTTTTGCATTGTACGCTGGTTGAAAAAAGTCACATAATGCTTTCAATTTTACTATTTTAAGCACACTCATATACTTCGTGAATGGAAATCCTATTGACAGTTCTTGAATGTGACAAAACTTAACATCACAATGCATATGACAATGGCACAAATGTTATGAGATATTAAATACGATTGAAGTGAAAAAACGGAAGAAGATGACAGTAGTCATGACTCATTGATCTATGCAGAGTTATCACAAGTGGCCGATTTATTCACGTTTACGTGGTTCGACTCTTTCGTCAACTACACAGACTGAAAGCGGTTATTTCAGTGAAAAGTACGTCGATTGATTCACTTTCTTGTGATATTCATCTACATCAACAAATGTTAGAAGCGCTTCAAGAAAATACGACAAAAAATGTAGTTTCATATTTGTATTAACCAGCTGTCAAATATCCTTTCTGTTTAGGTTACTCTGACCGTTGCAAACCAATCAAGCACAACGCTCGACTCGATTTAATGTGTATTGTCTTGATCAAGATATAATGCAACTGATGATCTACATCCTGTCATTAATTATTTCAATGGACTGATAAATGCTTCTTATTTGAGTCAAAAGTCCAATACTTCTTCGCAATTTACAGGACATCTCAAGCAAAATGAAGAACAAGGAATCATCCTAAATTTCCTATTGTGCCCAAAAAGCTTTTTAGTCTCCGTTTTGTGACATTGTTTTGGCTAAAAAATATATAACTATCTCAAGCGGCAACTCTATCTTCTCGATGATAGTCTTACTTGCTTTTCCACACTCATTGTTCATGTGGAGACCTCGCATTCAAAATTGAACACAGACAGCAGGATAAGTGACTTCTATCTTGATCATAATCCATCCATCAATGAAGGATCGTTGTTTCGCAAGAAACCTTGTCGAATGATGAATCTACAAGAGCTCACACTATTTCTCATGCTGGTAAAGAAACAATTATTCATTGATGGCACTTATACGGCACAACTATGCATTATTTCCTAGGAAACAAAATGGTCCCAACATTCTAAATTTTTTAATGCCTTACATAATAAAATAATGATACCTACCTGAACATATACAGACACAGATAGCAAGTAGAAAACTATGGATGGTAGCCGGCATAGGAGAAGACAGAAACGATTTTTCAGAAAATTTATTAATTTTTTTATGGAAAGATTGTATAGGATGCCTTAACCGAATGATGATTTGGAAAGCGCAGGTGCAGAACATTTGTTTTTAAGCAAATGCTTCTAAAACCACATACATTATGAATGATCGATTCAGTTCACACAAAGATGGCGCTCCTGACGCATATATGCCTCGGCAGCTGCCAACGGGTTAATATTACCAGGTGCGTCGAAGTAGGCAACCTGTCCTTGTTGTAGCATAAGAATACGATCACTATTGACTACTGTATTCAATCGATGCGCAATCGTTAATATAGTGCGTTCACGAAACTTTTCAGCAATCACCTCTTGAATCATCCTGTCAGTGGCATGGTCGACATTTGCTGTAGCCTCATCAATCAGTAATATGTGGCTCTTCTTCAAAATGGCTCGAGCTACACAAATCAGTTGGCATTCGCCAGCACTTAAATTGGTACCTGATTCAGCTACCAACAGATGGAGTCCATCGGGATGGTTGCGCACCAATTCTTTGAGTTGAACCGCTTCAAGTGCTGTAAGACATTCGTCATCTGAGAATTGTCCGAAGGGATCAATATTGTATCGAAGTGTACCACAGAAGAGTATGGGTACTTGTGGTATAACACTTAGATGAGAACGAAGATGGTCAAGTGAAAGACGTCCGATATCAATACCATCAATGAGAATGGTTCCGTTGATTGCTGACTGGTCGACAAGTCGAAAGAGAGCTTGAAGAAGTGATGACTTTCCGGCACCTAGGCGAAAAGCAGATGCTGATAAATGAGTGTCATCAAAAGAGCAATCACACATTCCAATTCTCAGGATCCTTTGGAACTGCACCATGAATCATTGATGCACAGAATAAAATATTCTTCATAAAATGCCGCTCCTTATCAACGAATCACTTAAACTAAACGTTTGAAATCATGTACTGACAGAATTAGTCTCATATGATATGTACCTGCTATTTAGACACCGATTCATTTTTCAATGCTAATACCCGCTTTCCCTCAGTTTAAAGACAGTCACTGAGAAAGCACCACAAAATCAGAACAGATTATTTCTTATGAACTCAATGCAGTATAAATTCATGTATCCGTTTCTGATCGAGTTTCTTTCTTCTCATTAGGAATGCTCTTGATATAGATTGTCCAAAGTAAAGCGCTCATACCTGTCCGACCAATAACTCCAATCTTTTCCTTAGACTCAATTCGTAGATTAAGATTTTTGAGTACCGGATCAAGTTCTGGTCGATAGCGAAAAGTGTAGTCTTTAAATTCGATAATACCATAAGAAGGCCAATCATTTGCTGGTTGAATAGGAACAACGTCCTCATTACTGTTCCATAGGCTTTCTGGTACAAGTTGACCATATTCATGAATACGTTCTGCACTAGTCATGAAATTTTCAGCTTCAGCCGATTGCCGTATAGACCATTGAAAAAGACCTGTCAAAGTGATACAATAGCTGATACTGAGTGCTGCTGCCGACGGATCGATTCGATGGCGCAACACTACTGCAAGAATAGCAGTAACCAAAGTGAGTAAGGATGCCACAAGATCGAGTCGTAAACCAAACCAACGTGCAGTGGCAAAGAGAATGAAGTATGCTCGTGAATTAGTATCAATTCTTTCCATGAACATATTCAAAAAATCTCCTTGGACATTAAAGGCACGAATACTAGTGAGTCCATCTAATGACGATGAGAATAATGCATAAATTGGACTACGCGTTACATTTTCAAGCCGTTTAAGTTGACGACTCGAACGCAAGTAAAATCTACGAAGCCACAAAACTATGGAAACCAGTGGAATGAGAATTAGAAGCACCCAAGGGTTGGTCATTCCAATGATTGTAATAGAACCTAGAGTCATTAGTAAATACTGCATAGTGTCGATTAAAGCCAAAGGCAGCGATTCGTCTAACACTTGTTGGTCCTTGCTTGCTCGATTCAATATTCGTCCACTTGGATTACTTTCAAAGAAACGTAACGAAGTATATAGGATACCTTTGAGCATTCGATTGTGAAAATAGGTTGAACCACGCAGCATAATATAGAAGATATAACCAGTACGTATTAATGCAACGATCAGTGTAGCAAATACAGCTCCAAGATAGATGTAAGCATAAAGTGGTGATCGTTGTTCATTTTCATCTTTACCAGACCACAAGGCGAGCCAATTATTTGTAAAATCGTACATAGCTTCGTTAGCAAGCATAATAATTATCATAAGAAGAAAGCCAAACCAACGTAAAGGTGGTGAAGTAAATATCTGTAGCCAAACACTCCATTTGATAGTACCATCAACTATTGCCTCGCTCTTTACAATCGAATTCATATCAGTTACAGCAATACTAGGTATCCAATCCGTCTCCTCGTCATTAGATGAATCTGTTTCTAATGTATTATTCGATCGCTCAATTACAGGCTGTTGTTTAATATATAATTCTTCAATGTGACCATTCGTTAAGAGAATCGTTTGATCTGTTTCAACTAAAAAATGTGTCTGGTGTGTAACTAATATCCGAGTCTTTCCACGAAGGAGACTACGAGGACCAATGCATTGATCAAAAATGGTATTGGCCACCTTGGGATCCACGGCAGCAAGTGGATCGTCGAGTAAATATAAGTCAGCATCAGCGTAAAGAGCACGAGCGAGCGATATTCGAGCTTTTTGTCCCCCACTCAAATTGACACCTTTGTCGCCAACGATCAATAGATCGCCGACTTCACCGAAACTCTGTAGATCGATATCAAGACAACATGCCTTGATTACATGCTTGTAACGTTCTTCATCCATTGGCTTGCCGAGAAGAATATTGGCTCGAATAGTGTCAGTAAAGATCCATGCCGATTGTGGGGCGTAGGAAATCGAATTAATATATAGTCTCAGCTGTCCACTGATAAGATTGATCTCACCAAGAATAGCAGCTAGTAGCGTTGATTTGCCAGCACCGATAGCACCTTTCACTCCGATCAAGTCACCTCTTCTGGTTTTGAGATTAAGAGAGAACAAAGAAGGGGTATCTTTCCAAGAAAATGATGCATCTTCCATTATGATTGCATCATCTTCGTTGTTCTTTTCCACTTTTTCATGCTTATTCAACAGCATATCAAGTTGCATAAATTGATTGATCCTTCTTGCAGAAACACGAGCTTCACTAAATTTTTCAATCGCTTGTGGCATCGCAATTGTCACTGGAACTCGAACCATGACGAAGAAAGCTAGTGTTGAGAATATATTTTCTGGAAGCAAATTTCGACCCATTAACCAACTACCACCGAATGTAGCAAGAGAAATCAAAGGTAACGTTGCGAAAGAGAGAGCAGTGTTAAAAGCTCTTAAGCAGCTCGCTTTGTAAATGTTTGATAGTTCACGTCGACGTATCTCACGTACTCGTTGTTCCATGGCTTTTTCCCAATTGTACATTTTAATAATTTGACATCCGTTGATAAGTTCATTGATCGTTTGTACACGCCTGTCTGTACATGCCATTGTAGTCTTTCGGTATCGGCTAAATTGTCTACTGAAAACGAACTGTATAGGTACTAATAAAATCAGTACTCCATAGCCAAATAATGTTGGTAAGCCAATGTACCACCAAAGGAAACCAAACGTTACAAGAGCCTCCAAAGGTACTAGAACTAAAGTATGCACGAAGCTACTCAATTGTTCAAATTTACCGACATCATTTGCTACTAAATTAATGATCTGAGCAGGAGTAGTCTTGTGAAGAGCTGCAGTATTGATGGTCAACAAGTGCTTATAGATGATAGATGATAATGTATTGCGAACTCGCATACCTATGCGAGCATTTCGAAAGAAGATTTGCTGATGAATCATTGCTTGTAGAATTTGAGAAATGCAAAGAGCAACTGCGAATAGATAACCAGCGTAGGTAGGTAATCCTGATTGACCTTTAATGTAGAGAACAACATAACGAATAAGCAATGGCTGTGCCATATGAACCGTGATAAGGGGAAAAACGAGCAATATGCTCATTATAAAATCCTTATAAAATGTTCGTATAAATATGTGCCATGTACCTTGCCAGTTAGAACTATATTGATTTACTCTATTCAATAAAACTGGACATTTATCGTTGTCAGAAAGATCGTTAAGATCATTGTCAACAAGTGTACGTTTATTACCCAAAGAGAGGATTGGTGTTACCCATGACAATAGTGGTAATTGTATCCATCTTATACATGACGATTGAGCCCAATCCAATCGAGATGATTGTCGTTGTTCACCTAGAATATATTCTTATCAAAGTGTGTGTACGTGTGGTTTTTTTCTTCTGTACAACGAAAGAAAAATGAAAAAATCTTTCTTAAGTTTTCATATATACATACTCATGTCAATTAATACGAGAAAATTGATCTGTCATCATCAGTATAAACTTGCTTTGTATCCTTGCTATCTTCTGAACTTCAGGTAAGACTTTGTGAGGATTGCAATCTTAGGAGCTGTTATTTTAAACATAAAATTTGCCTTATCATATTTTCTGATACATTTTTCTCTTATTCCTTATCATTCTCATATAAGCAGTTCTTTGCATGCATACGTTGCTACTCTTGTTGTATTTATGATATAAAAGAGATACGAACAAAGGTCATTATTTTCTTTTTGCAGACAGGAAAAATGCTATTTATTTTTCTCTAGCATACACTTCAAAATATAGATGATCCACAAATAAATAAACTCTCAGACGTCAAACAAATTGAAATGAAGACAAAAATGTTAATACGTATATGTTTATTTCAGTAGCTTGTACGCACATTTTAACACATCCAGGAAACTTTTAATGATGCGCAACATATGCGTTTCTCCTTGCAGTCTTTTTTAGGAATGCTCGATATAAAATTAAATTTCTTTTTCGCTTTTTGACTTATTCTGGCTATGTAACATTAGCTGCAAGTTTGTGTCTTAATCTTAGCTAATTTTTGCACAAAAAATAAACTAAGATTATCATTTACAGGATGAGAGTGTGAGTGTTCAAAGAATTGATGGAATGAAATGGTCCTGTAATCAGACGAAAACTAAAATAGATAGATTTGAGAGTCGAATAGAAGAAAAAAATGAATGAAAACGCGAAGAATTGAGGAACGAGTAGAATCAGAGGAGAGATCGAGCGAAAAATAATACTATTCGAATGTTTGTTGACTTCCAATAAATGAATTTACTGTAGAATGGAATTGAAAAATGAAAAATGGCACTTTCCGCTCAACTTTAGGAAAACGTTCGCCAATGAAAGTGCTTCGAAAACTTTTCTAACAAAATTTTGATGACGACTGCTCTTTCCGCTCGTCGTTGAATGAAAACTTCGCAATTTGTTTCTATCTTATTATTAGAATTCTCATCCCACATTTAGGAAGTTTTTTGTGTATCAAAATATTCATTAAATTATTTGTTGATCTTTATGAATAAATCACGGCAATATCACTGAGCAATGTTTCATCGAAAATTTCCTGCTAGATTTGATGAAATTGTTTTACAAAATATGCTAAAACTAGCATAGTTATACGTAAAATGTGCTAGAGTACTTCAATCAAAACTATGTCTTCTTGATGTTTTCTTTGTTCCCCTATGAATATAATAGGTTCAGAAGATATTATGCGTCGAATCTAAAAATGCTGCTGACTTTCTTTGTTCGTTCTATGAAAGAAAAAGTGTATAAAAAAAATCATCTATTGATATTGTCTGTTATTTTGAAGATTGTGTGGAGTAAGCTTACCGAAAATTAGCTTTATAATTAAATATAAAGTGTTAACATTTTCTGTGTTGGTGAGTTCATACAGAAAACAATTCACGTTACCGGTTCTTCTACTTTATGATCTTTTGGGTTATGGTTAAGATGTGAGAGTTCTTATTCTGATGCTTTTGGTATTAACTATCAAACTATTTTATCCGCTGGCCATTTAGACTTATTGTACTATGTAACTCTTGTTCCATACCATCTCCGAACTGTTCTGCAATCTTTGAATTTCTGACTATTTTCTAAGTCTTCCATCTTCATGCTTCTGCTACCTCTTCTTTCGTATCACTAATTTCTTTTTCTAATCTAGCTAATACTTGTTTTAAACTAACGAGGGAACCACCCGAGGTGTCAAAAAGCTTTTCAGTCGGGGATATGATGGTTAGATAGGGCATAGCTAGGAGTGATATACCCTAAGTTAGTTCGTGCCCAAGTTGCTTCTAGCAGGAGTTATGAAATGTGAAATTTAGGTATAAAAATGAATCAGGGAAGGTTTTCTCCACTATTGTAAGGACAAAACATAGTGTTATTCGGGCCGATTATGGGGNAAAATTGTAGTATCACATTGCTTTTTCCAAGAAAAAATGCTTTTAAAGAAAAACAACTTTTTTCATGTTTTCTGTGAGAAATCAAGAAATGGCCTCTTAGACAACTTTGTAGAGCGGGTCAATGCTGCCACCTTTTCAAATCCAAAAAGCAGAAAATCACAGAAATTCCACCATAAAAAAGCAGGGAAAAAAAGCAAAAAAGATATTTCTTACCTAAATCTACTATAAAGCTTATATTCAATATAATAATTAAAAATTGTATATCAAATTTCAATTTTTTTAAAAAAGATCAAGAAAAACAAATAAATAGAATTATTAAATACACTTTCTTTTGAACCCATACTTTTCATCTGATTTAATAGCTTTTAACAAATCTTGATTAGATAAAACATGTTTATACATTTCAATGCATTATAATGATGAATTTCAACGCCCTTTTAATTCAGCTAATAGAAGTTCAATTGTCATACAATTCCTTTTATCATTACATAAATATTTTAATTGTGAAAAATCTGACTCAATATAAGCATTACTGCATGGTAAAGAATACAAAAAACATACGAGTTCCTTGAAATTTAGAGATGGAGTAAGAGAGAACATATACATCCAGAACTGATCAGATCTCACAATTCTGCTTCCTAAGTGATCAGCATCATCATCATTTTTTTCTTCTTTGCATCCATTTGTTACTGCTATATCACCTTGTTTACTAATAAAAGCCTGAACTTGATCAAAAACTGAGATACGTCGTTGTAAGATTATTTTTAATGTTGATTTTATATTTTTAAATTCATCAAATATACAATCATCACTCAGGCCAATTTTTTTTATAAATCAACACATTGAATAACTTGATTTGTACGAATCAGACGAATAATGATAATAGTGACAAAAGAGAAACAGGTAAAGAATGGAATAAATATAAAAGATATACATTTGATTCTTTTTTAACCACTAGAAAACACGAGTTATAATAGAAGTAAAGCTAGGATAAGATAGTAATATGAGTGATTATTAATAAAAATTAATTTTTAGAATTCGAAAAATGATCATGTAGAAGAGAGTTATTGATTAAAAATATGAATAACCTAATATTAACACATTCACCACGATTCAGTTTTCTAAGGGAAAGTCTTCGAAATACCTATTCTTGTCAATAGCTAACTTCTAATAAATACGCGGAGCAACATTTTCACTATCGTCTACAGATGATTCACCATTCTCTTCCTCATATTATGACGTATCATGAGTCAGAGCGAAACTTTTTCCAGTTTTTTCCTAGGACAAATGAAGCGGAAACTCTCTGATCACAAGTTAGAGGAAATAAAAGGATCTGCGCACAACGTTCACAGACGCTGAACTGGTTGCTATGAACAAGCCACGAAGTAAAAATCAAGGGAATCGAGCTATACAGCAGCAAAGAAAGTAAAAACTTTATGTGCTGACTTTGGCTAAGTTTTTTTGTCTTGAATGAGCCTCGTATTAAACCTCTGTGGTTTCGTACTAAACCTGAATGGTCTGAGAGTTTCTTCCACGGAACTCTAGGGGTTTCGTATTTTCTTACGGAATCTTTTTTTGCACTACGGAACTTAAAAAACGTTTCGTAGGAGAAGGTTCGGCCCGTGTATCGAGGGGAAGAACCTTTAAAGGTTTCGCAGAACTGAATAATCGTTTTTTAAGCATCTCCAACCATTTCGACGCTATTTCTAAACTGCCGAACTTTTTTTGGGGGTTTAGTAGAAAACCAATTTTTTTACAGTATTGTATTTACTTTATTAAACCAATGAATTCTGACCACTTTCTAAGACTTCATTTTATATTTCATGATAAGCCCATTTTTTCATGCCTGGAGTCCCCTCAGGTGTTCAAAAAAATTTTTGTTTTTGTTTCATTCGGGAGACTGATAAACTGATAGATCTTCATGTGTTGATCATAAATATCGCAGTCTTTTTCAAGACTCATCGAATAATAAGAAAAATATTGAACATAGAAGATAACCTCAAAAACTAGTTTTTGGCCTATAAGACCATAGATATCTCTCTAAAATTCCATGAAACTATGCTCATTCGGTGCAGAATTTTTTTCTCTATCGGAATATATAAAATGCTTTTGACCAGAATTATACTTTTGCATCGATAACTAACGAATACTGACCCCAATGAGCCTCTATGCTCACTAATAAAGGGTTTTTTGACGCGTAGAAAGCATAGTTTGCCCCAGTAGGTCATTGAGAATTTTTTATTACTAACTTAATTCAATGAGCTCGTTCTAATAGATATGTTTTTGGCTTGAAATTCCAGAGTAGAAAAATAGCCGAAAAAATCATTATTACTAAGCATAGAGGCTCATTGAAGCCGGTATTCGTTAGTTATCGATGCAAAAGTATAATTTTGGTCAAAAGCGTTTTATATATTCCGATAGAGAAAAAAATTCTGCACCGAATGAGCATAGTCTCAAGAAATTTTAGAGAGATATCTATGGTCTTGTAGGCCAAAAACTAGTTTTTGAGGTTATCTTCTATGTTCAATATTTTTCTTATTATTCGATGAGTCTTGAAAAAGAATGCGATATTTATGATCAACACATTAAGATCTATCAGTTTATCAGTCTCCCGAATGAAACAAAAACAAAAATTTTTTTTGAATACCTGAGGGGAC